GTCGTCCCCGGCGCTGGGACCTCGGGCGGCGGGGCCAGCGTGCCGGGCAAGCCGGTGTACTCGACCCCTTCGCCGGTGGAGAACACGCCTCAGAACAACGAGTGCAAGATGGTGGACCTGCGGGGCGCCAAGGTGGCCTCCTTCACGGTGGAGGGCTGCGAGCTGATCTGCCTGCCGCAGGCGTTCGACCTCTTCCTCAAGCACTTGGTGGGCGGCTTGCCTCGGGCGGCGGGGCCAGCGTGCCGGGCAAGCCGGTGTACTCGACCCCTTCGCCGGTGGAGAACACGCCTCAGAACAACGAGTGCAAGATGGTGGACCTGCGGGGCGCCAAGGTGGCCTCCTTCACGGTGGAGGGCTGCGAGCTGATCTGCCTGCCGCAGGCGTTCGACCTCTTCCTCAAGCACTTGGTGGGCGGCTTGCACACGGTCTACACCAAGCTCAAGCGCTTGGAGATCACGCCCGTCGTCTGCAACGTGGAGCAGGTCCGGATCCTCCGGGGCTTGGGCGCCATCCAGCCGGGCGTCAACCGCTGCAAGCTGATCTCCAGGAAAGATTTCGAGACCCTCTACAACGACTGTACCAACGCAAGGTAAAAACAAAAAAGAAAGAAAAAGAAAAAAGAAAACCACCCTGCAAAAGCGGGGTCGGGAGTAGGGAGGGAGGGAGGATGCGCCCCGCACACGCTTTTGGCAGCTTCTAAACACCCACCAAGTCTCATCTGGTGGATAGCCGCACACGATCCCCGTGTGCGCCTCTAGGCCGATCCCCGCCTTTTCTGCTGAGGTTAAACACGTGCTGCGCGACCCGGTGCGTGTTTAACTGAAAAGTTTAGTGGGACTTTCAGATCGATCTTGCTTCACACTCGGGAGTACATTTGAACTTATTTTATGTGGGCTTATTTCTGCCTTAATGTGTAGACTTGCAGTTCTGCTGCTTTGGAACTGAGCTGAGAGTTGCAGTAAAAACAGCACTGACAAACCTCTGATCTCTCTCTTTGGCCATTTGGAATCCCCTCCCCTCCTCTTTTTCGGAGCCTTGGGAGGGGAGGGGGAGAAGGGGGAGTGCCACATTTTAATGTAGACGTGAAGGCACAGGCCTGGTGTCTGGTTGGTGATTTGAGTATTGCCCAGGGCTCAAGTAAGTGGGTGAAAGTCCCGTCCCTTTTGCTTACATTGACGCAGAATCAGAGGACTAACCTCGAGCCCAGGGCAGGTGGAAAGAGAGGAATAATGCGCCCTTGTACGGGGCATCGTTGAAGCCTAATTCGCAAGTGTTGTAGAAAACAGGCATGCTCCAAATAATGCAGAAACTGGAACCTGGGGGTAAGACATGTGTTCAATTGAGTTGTTTAAGCCCTGACAGCACTTCTGCACACCATTATCAGGAACTCATCACTAATCTTCCTGGACTGTCCCTAACCATGCTGCTGCTTCTTCTTTTAAATATTTTTTGTAGCTTGATTCCCCCCCCCCTTCCTAGAAAAGAATGTAGTGCAACTTAATGAGTTTGGAGAAAGGAGAGAAGGGACATGAGAGTTTTTCCATTTTCAGGGCAGGTGCAAATAACCTTGCCTATTCTATACGCACTTGCTTGGGACTATGATTATGCACTACTTGTGTGACACTAGAAGGATCCTACTAAGAACTGTAAATAATATAATTGCAGAGCTGGAAGGGATCCTATAGATCATCTAGTCCAGCCTCTGTCATCAAACTCCCAACCTAGTCCCTATTGATGTCAGTGTTTCATAATACATGTTCCGAGGGTTATAGTGCCAATGTTGGACTCTGATGTGGAGTCAGTAGGAATTAGGGGTCATCTGAACCTATCTCTAAAGGTTAAAAAGTGTCAAATTTTGTTCATGCATTGGTGCCTTTTAACATGAAGAGACTATTCTGATCTTGAGGGTTATCTGGAGAGTCGTCTCACAATTAGGATGGGGATGTTTTAGCTCAAGAAAAGCCATTTAACCCAACATGTGTATTTAGGTGTAGCTTAGTGTGGGAACATTCTCTGGTTGTTTTAAATCACACAAACCAAGCTGATGGCTCCCTGAAATGTCAGAAAGAGAAATGTGATGTTTGTAAAATGATTTTGATTGAAGAGGAAGCTACAGTAGATAAGAACATAGGGTCAAAAGAGAGTCTATGAATACCAGAGTTGATTTAAGTTAGCACAATGATAAAATCATTGATTTAAATCTCCAAGCAAGAGGGTGATACAAATCAGCTTTCTAGGACTCTTACGTTTTATAGTTCTTTATGGTTTATGCATGTTAGTTGGCTACTGTAACAACCCGAGTGTACTAGTTTAGGGTGAAATATGGCACGTATGCCATCTAGGACCACAGTACTGAATCTCTGGATGTGTATAAAACTGGATCTACTTAGAGGAGAGAAAGTATGAAATTATTTATTTTTTCATGGTTCTGTCTTTAAATTACTGTATAAGGAAACTAGGCAAAACTGCTTACTTGAAGACTGAATGCTCACTCCTTTCCAGAAGGAAGTTACTGGGCAGAAGTATTCTCTATGAGATACAAAGCAAATGCCCTTACAGTTCAATTGGCAGTCTAAATAATAATGCTTTTTATAATAGTAATAACATGAGGTTTTTAAAAATCGTATTAATAGTACTTGACTTCTAGATGTTACACTTATTTTCACTCTTGCTTCAGTTTTAAGAAATTGACTTCAGACATTAATATTTTTGTTTCAGTTCAGAGCAGATTTTATTTTAAACTAGTTCATTTACAAGGGGTGCTTGGTATAACTGAATTGAAAACATAGAAAAGTATAGTATGTTGTGCCAGATTGAGTAATCATAGCACAGTGAAACACACAAAGACACTCATAAAACTTCCCAGTTTAATGCCTCTTACTTTGAAACTAAACAGGAAAAAAAGGAACATTGTCCAGGCTTGGTTCCAGCATTTCTGAATAAAAAGGAAAGTGAAAAGTCCTCTTAAGGAAAAACAGGTTGAGATACTAGAATGGAAGAGGGCCTCCTTCTTTTAGTTTAGCCTGCCTCAACAAGTTAGTATAAATCTGTCCTTTAGTTAGCTTATGGATGTATATAAAGGTTAAAAAGAGGAGAATCCATTTTTAGGAAGTGCATGAGAAAGGCCCAAGTAAACAGTTTTTGGCATAGTTCTTTGAACTGTAACTGAATGACACTGTTCGTTTTTCTTTTTATTTTGCTGGTAATACTCTGTGGATTCAGGGGTTGTAGTCTCTTATTTGATTGGGTTTTTTTTTTAAGTGAAGGCTCCTGGACCACTGTTAGCAATTGCTTATATGTAGCCTATGCTAAATATTTTGCGAGGTCAGATTACCATAGGAATAGTTTGCTTATTTCGTTCTTTAATTCTTAAGCTTTCATGCCAGGTTGTCCCCAGGACCATATGGAGACAGCCCAGAACTCAACCTGATAGCTCCCTTGTAGTTGAGCCGATAGGGACCATGTAACAAAGAAGCACATCCTTTCTGCCAAGTGGTGGTTAGGCAGCTGAAGGAAACAGAAAGGAGTGGAGATTTGCCTGATTAAGTTGTTCTGTGTTATAGCACCTCTTGTTACAATATGGGTGATGTAAATAAAAGGTTGGGAGGTTATAAGTAGTAACCATATGTTTTTGGGCGTACGGTCTAGGATGTTTAAGTACCACATTGTTTTGTCTACCTCTAACAAGTCAGGTAACCTCCTAGGAAAGGGATCTCGTGAAACTCATCAGTCTACAGAATAGAGAAGCGGATGGGGTTGGGGATTCAAAGGGGGACAGTAAGTGACAAAGGAAGATCTCTCTGTTGTTCCAATAATAGGTCTTCTTTAGGATTGAAAGTTCAGGTCTGAGTCCATCTAAATTTGGAGGTGGCACAATACTTCTGATTGGAAGAAGTAACAGTAAAAAATGCTTTGCACTAAATAGAAATGTGTTTGGAAACAAGCATTTCTTGAGTGAAGTTCCTGTAATTTTTCAGACAGAAAAAGAGAAAAACTTTAGATGAACTTTGCTGAACTGTTGCTAGGTACACTTCTGCTTCTTTGAAGATTTTTCCCTATCCATGAATAATTTGAGTGCCCTTTACCTTTCCCCCTCCACTGTAAATTTTTAAGACTGTGGCACATGGTGAATTAAACTCTTCCTCTGTTTACCTTGTGTAATGACAGATTATATTTGTTTTATTTCAGTCTCTGGAGTCAGTTGGAATGCAAAACAAGATTTTTTAAAAGGGAAGATAAGAGTTACTATGGAATTCTTTTTTCATCTCATTCACTGAGTTGAGGAGTTGTTGAATCAACCAAATCTTGCAGAGTATTATCTGCAAAATGTTAAATGTTGTAAACAGCATGTTGCTTCATTTGTAAATCTAGCATTTTAGAAAATCTGATACTCCTCAGTATTTAACATAAAAATTATTGAAGATTATAATGTTTTTCATATTTCTCATGGGCAACTATTTGAACTTCCATGGAGCTATGGTACAGTTTTAGAACATGCAGCATATTATGCACGTTTTCTCTGATTTAAGTACCAGTGTGGGAATTTCTTAGCAATACAGGTGTACAAATAATCTTAAAGAAGCAAGTTGCTATCTTAGAGGAGTTCTGACTGCATTTAGCAGGCATGGATTAGTTTTATCTCAAGTTAGAATCTGAAAAGCTGCATTTTCTGTAAACTAAGCGAGTTAGATTTGTTGAAGAATCCTTCTCAACTAATATAAATAAAGCATTTTAAAAAACAAGTTACTGCTGTTAGTTTCAAATGAAATTACTTGTCAACATACGGACTTTATTCTTCTCAGATGTTTTTCTTCTCTTGATACATTTTAGTTTACACACACACCTAGTTGTATTTGAAAATCAACATTTATTTTGAAAACAAATTGCTTCTCTTATATCTGGGTTACTTATGCAAAATACAGGTTTATGAAATGTTTACGGCTGGTATAAAATGTTGTCTTGAAAAAGTAAATGTCATACTGTTATGTGTACGTTTAAGGAGGTTGACAGCCTAGAACAACATACAGTAGTTTTTTGGTATTGTAGTTGGGAGGAAGATGATGATGCTAACTATTCTGTCAAGGCTAATATTCTGTTTAATCAGATGGTATTTCAAGAAAGCTATTAATTTTTTTGTGATTAATAACGTAATTTTGTTCCACTAATGTTTTAATTCATTAGTCATCAGCTGCTATGAAGTACTTGCAGCAGCATATCTAGATAAAAAGTGACATTTTTTAAAAAATGCAGTCCTGGGTTATAAACAAGAATGATCAGCAACTTTATTTAAAGAACATGGTTGTACTCAAGTGAAGTATCTGTACAGTAATATATTGCTATATTTTACAAAGAATGCAAGATAATTTTTGAGGATTAATATATGCTCATGATTAAAAAAATCAGTTAGCTTTCCACATTCATTCATGAATGGGAGCATATTTAATGTACAAATCTTGCTATAATACCAACAAAGTACTATGCCCCTTAATTTCTTGTACTTTAGACCTGTATGTCCTTGAGTTCTAGGCACTTTAATAATGATGATGATGATGTGCTGTCAATTTTGACTTGATGACCCTTTCCAGGGTT